TGGTTTAATACAGCTTATGTGAATTTTGCAAGTCCAAATCTTAGGGATTTGATAATGCTAGTGGTGGTAATGATGATGACATGATGACAATTAATAAAAATATTAGCACTATCTTTTATTGAGTCTTTGCTCTGTACCTGGCTCCACATTAATGCTTCCTATATGAGTTCATGAAATACTAATAATAAACTGATGAACTAGGTACTGTTTATCTTCAGTTTATACATGAGGATACTGTGAATAGAGAGGTTAAGTAACTTGCTCAACATCACAGGTAATAAATGGCAAAGCCTTGGTTCTATCCTGGGCTAGAACTCCAAGGTCAGCATTCTCAGTGATGAGGCTGATAGATTCCCAAACAATGCCTCCCCCTCACCCCTGCTTTCAGCTGCATTTGAACCACCAACTAAGAGCAAACAAGAAAACACTCTTTACATTTTCCTGAGGTGATATTAAAGAGAGAATCAAATTCAAGGGAGACCTAAATGATCCTTCACACATACTAACACAGATATGGGTCCTTAGGCTAATCAAAAACCTAACAATATGTTGAAATCAGTCTTTATAACTGATATATGGGACTATGTGAAATGATAGTAAATGTTCTTGCATTAGCATCAAAATATACCCAGGCATCTTTGGAATTGTTTCCCGAAATCTGTATTTTGAAAGTTTCCATCTATGGAATATCCCATTATGTAATAGTTTCATGTGGTTTAAGCCATAATTATCATTCATTTTTGAACAATTCTGACTTTGAAATCAAAGGACATTTGGAAAGTTCCTCATTCAGGACTATATTCATGTCTCTAGGTCTCTGCTTTATCTCTTCCAGATTCTCTTTCATTTCAGTCTCCGATGCTGCCTCTCCACTTAATAACTCAAAAATTAAAATCTTGCATGATACACTGAGTCCTTTGGAAAAACAGTTGTCTGAGTTTGTTTTAAAGTGGCAACGTGAGCAAAATACAGGAACAGGGCAAGTATGCTTCAGGCTGGCAGCCTAAATTCAATGTACTGGTATTGGTATAGAATGTCTCTGTCTTCTTATTTAAATATTTAATTAATTTCAGGGGATTACATTGTTTATACTTCCTAATTAAGCCTACTGGCCTTCACCATTGTTCTCTTGTCTCTAATCAGAAATCATTTGTTTCGGGAGCTATGCAGAGTGGAGTTAGCTGAGGGCTTTTATAACATTCTACAAATTGGATTCTGTATATTTGTAAATTATGCTGATAAGCACTTTTGTAGCACAATGAGGTCAAGACAGTCTCATCGAAAATGGCCTTTTTGTGCTGTACTCAAGCCAAAAAAAGGTAAAAGATCATAAAGGTACTAAGTTATGTTTGCAAAAGAAATTCACTGCAGGACAGTAGTTACTTTTTGACAGTGGTTACTTTAAGCCAATCTTAAAGAGACTAAATAAAATAAATTCTCCAAATGTACAGAATTTAATTAAAGATATATTTATGGAAAACATTGTATGAAAATATACAGTGTTACATGCTATAAAGCACAGAGAAATATTAAGATACAGTTCATGATTTTAAAGAGTTTGTAATTTAAAAGAGAGACTAAAGATATGCATGCAATTAATTAAATAGAAGAAGACAGAATATAAATGCCCTTTGTCAGAGGCACAGTTTAGCCTAAAAGAACATAGATGGATTGAATTTATCTACTAAAATTTAAGTCATTCATTTAACTGCTATTTATTGAGTGCCTACTATGTGTCAGGTCTGGAGATATAGCCCTTGCTACCAAGGGATGCTGATCTTCGGAAATGAAATTCTTGACTAATTTTCAAAATACAGGGTAAAAAATGGAAGTAGCTTTAGCTTTGGAGTTTGAAAATACTGAATCAAAACCTGGCCCTATCAATTATTCATTGGGTGCCTTAAGCAAATAATTTATAATCCTTTTAGCTTTATTGCAGAAATTAGAGGGTCATCTTTGATTCCCTCTTCTAACTTCATCCTAAATAAAGGTAATCAACAAATCAGTCTTTCAATGTTCCTTGAATGTTTTCCATCCTCCCCATGCTTTTATCCCCAGTCCAAAGGCTGGCCCTCATGATTTGTTTATGGATCCCATACCTTAAATTAGTTTTGGATTAGTTTTGTTTACAGATTCTAAATTAGTTTTGCTCTTCCCACATCATTCTTCTTCAATCTATCACGCATGTTGTAACCAAAGCAATCTTTTTAAAACTTTTCCCTGAGTATAACAGTCCTCTCCTCAAAACTCTTCAGTCATGTCTCATCACCCAGGAAATGCAAGTCTGTATTTCTTAGGAAGTAAGACCTTTAGTGAGCTGAACTCTGCTTACATTTTTAACCATACCATACATTTTTAACCAAGCCAATCTTCCTCCATATGCACCCTATGTTTCTCTAACCAGCAGCATGCTTTATGACTGTATGCCTTTGCTCATGCTATTTGTTTTGTTTTGTTTTCTTGGCTGCACCACACGTGGGATCTTAGTTCCCCAGGAATTGAACTGGTACCTTGTCCCCTCCATTGGGAGTGTGGAGTCTCAACCACAGCAATTTTTTTTTTTTTAATGCCAAAGTTTGAAACTTCATCCTCATTCTCACTTCACCAATCCTATCTAGAAAACTTTAAAATTTTATTATTCCTTTGACACTTTACTCAAACACAGTCTTTTTTACAGAGCATTCCTTGATGATGTGAGCACAGGTAATTTTTTCAGTTTTTAGTACTCACACAGCATATTTTATATAATCTATGTTTTATGTGTTTTATGTATATAAATACATATTTTATGTATAATGCCTATGTTGGCACAATACATTATAATGTCACTATCCTTGTATATACCAATTGTCTCAAAAAGACTGAACAACTGAGAAAAAGACAAGGCCCTTCACCTTTGAATTCTCACTTCTAATGTAATGTCTGTCAAGGAGAGGCTGTGCAATGAATATTTATTTTAGTAATGAAGTTTGGGGTTAAGTGGAAAGAACCAAATGCCTTGTGGAAGAGATGGTATTTAAGGCCTTGAAAAACTTCTAAAATATTTCATGAATTTTAAAAAATATGATTTGGGGATGTCTAGTGTTTTAATATACATATACACATAAATACTAAATATATCTTCATGATCTTCCCTTTACTGCTTAAGTATTTTGCCAGCAAAACTGTCTTTTCCATTCAAGGCCCTGGATGCAGTACTCTGAGCATGAAGACTTATTTAGTAGGTTAATAGTCTGATTTAAAGAAGCATTTTCCTCATGTCTCTTTAAAAAAGGTACCATTCTGATTCTCTGGTACTATGTGGTATTGAAAATGCCTGACTTTTTAGCTGAGTCATAGATGTCTGTATACTACACAAAATATCAAATAAAATGCTGATATTCACTCTATATATTTATTTTCTCCTGAACATGCTAAAAAATATGTAAGTAAGTAGGCCTTTGATCGTCAGTGGAAAATATGTGATAACCCTGGGCACCCCACTGCTATCCATTTTAGCTCTCCCTGAGCAGATCACCTGAGTCTGACTGTAAAAGTATTAACTTGGGCATCTTTCCAATGCAAATCATGTCTATTTCAGGTTATCAATGATGGTTATGCTCTTAGGTATTCTGGCAGGTTTCTTATCTGAATTTTGAAATAGAATTAACAATACTTCCTGGGATATTCCATTCCTTACTAGTGCATGTTTCTACTTAAGTAGTTCCTTTAAAATACAGATAAGGGACTTTCCCGGTAGTCCAGCGGTTAAGACTTCCCCTTCCAATGCAGAAGGTGTGGGTTTGATCCCTGGTTGGGGAACTGAGACCACGCATGCCTGGAATCCAAAAAGCAAAAACATAAAACAGAAGCAATATTGTAACAGGTTCAATAAAGACTTTAAAAATGGTCCATATAGAAACAATCTTTAAAAATTAATACAAAAATTTAAAACTATACAGATGAAAAACCACTGACACCAATAAAGATATTATGGATAACAGAAACCCAGAACATAGCAGCTGGAAAAAGACAAGGAAAGCTATACTCTTGCAATCTAGTTTAGGATAACGATTCCCTTCATTTTTAACCACGTTTACTAAAATAAATCCTTTTATTTTGGTAGCACATCATGGTTAGGAGAAAGAGAAGTCGGCTTTGGAGGCTTCATTGAGTTTTCTTTTTTCCACAAGAAAGAGAACTTATGAAGGAACCTCGGCAGCCTGGAGATCTTCCCTTAGAAACCCCTGCATAATAAAGTTATTGGCTAAGTTCGAGGAGCTCAGCAAAGGAGCTCAGTATTCTTGCCTGAAAAGTCCCATGGACAGAGGACCCTGGCCGAGTCCAGTCCAAACGGTCGCAAAGAGTCAGGCACCGCTGAGCGACTGAGCACACAGACACACTCACAGGAAGCGTCTAAAGGAAACCTCGTTGAGTGCAATCCTGTCGCACTGGAGATGCAGCTATAGATACACAGCCATAATTACATGTGGGTGGTAATCCACGTGAGGATTGGGAAGGCAACCTGGAAGGAAGGGCTAGCTTGCTTTCATGGCTTCCATCCTGTCAAAACCTGAAGGTTTGCTCCCAACCTTTGGGTGTCTGTACTTTGGGAGTTTTCAGCGGGATTCTCAGCCCACCGGCCTGCCCTAAGCCAAGCCAGACGGCCTGATGGACGGCTACTTCATGTTCGTGGTACACCCGCAGACCCACGCTCCTTCTCACGACTCTGTCCACCTCGGACCCTGAGCTGGTGGAGGTGCGAGGAGAGGCTCAGAAGGAGCGGTGGGGACGACCCCATCTCCGAATGCCTTTGCAGCTGCCAAGGAGTAGCCAACAAGCGCCAGATTTATGTGCACTTTGAAAGAAGCATCTCCACCATTGGCTTTCCGAGCGGCGCTGTCGCTAGGGAGCGGCGGGCAGGGCGAGCCGAGACCCGGGAGCAGCCCGGGCGGGTGTTCCAGTCACTCGGGCGAGAGCGCCGCCGCGGGCAGGCGCCGACACGCACGCACACGCGCGCTCCCCGCGGGTTCGAGCCCCGCCGCCCCGGTCCGCCCGAGGGCGCCCCCGGGCGCGTGCTCTGAGCAGAGCCGCACCTCCCGGCTTGCCGCCCGCCCCCTGATTCCCGCCGCCGCCGCCCGGAGGAGAAAGGAAGCCGGAGCCTCCGCTCCAGGTCCCCCGGCGCGGGCGCTGCGGAGAGCTGCGGGCTTGGGGAGGAGGAGGAGAACGCGGTGAATGAGTGCCCGCCTCGCCTCCGAGTTGTGTGAGTTGGCGGCGCCGCGCCCCGGCTTCCGGCTCTCGGCGCCCCACGCGCTCGCGGCTCCCGCGGCTGCAGCCCACGCCCGCGCCAGGAGCCCCAGCTCACCGCTCCGGGGGAGCCGAGGCTCCCGAGCTCCCGGCCCGGCCCCAGTCCAGCGGAAAGCAGGGGTGTCCCCTGGCAGAGGCGCACGGCCGCGCGCTCTCCCGCTAGCTCCGTGGCCCTTCGGTCTCTCCATGGCCTCGCATCAGCAATCCCGGATCCAGGCTTACCTGGAGAAGAACAGGATCGGTCCGCTGTTTGAGGTGAGGCGCTGGCGTGCGGGCAGTCCCGTTTGTCTTAGGAAGAAGGGGTGCAGAACATCCCGGAGGGAAGGACGGGGAGAGAAGGGAGACGCCAGAGGGGCGCCCCCGTGGCCCCGGTTCTGTGGCATTCGCTCTGCCCGGGCCAGGTGTCCTGGAACGCGGCCGCGCGGTCACCTCTTCGGTTACCTGGGCGCGGACAGGTGAACTCTGGAGGGGCCAGCCTGACCCAGGCAGGGACAGTTTGAGGTGTCCGACTGTCCTGTTCCGCTCACCACATGCACAGGGGCCCGGAAAGGCTGAGACGGATGGATGCACACACTCAGTCTTACACACGCTCACTTTTTTTCCTGGAATTCACACTGTCTTGCGCGTTGCTTTCTTTTTTTTCCTCTTCCAAATGTGGGCAGTAGTAGAACCCGAAAAAGGTGGAGGAGGTGCTTAGCAGTGGGATGGAATAAGGTTAACCGGGAGAAAACTGAATTGGTAAGGAGTAGATTTCTGCAGGAGCGGGCGTGTTGAATGAAATTGCCCAGCTGAGGCGCTGACATTGGTCTCTGGATGGGGGAAAAAAAAAAAAAGCCCTTTGCATTGCAGCCGCTACCTGTGCTGGGGAGGGGGCGGGGGGAAGAAAAGGGGGCGGAGAAAGGTTCCGGAAAAGCTCACGCATATTTATGGGAAGGAAACGTGGGGCTCAGAGCTGTTTTTTTCTCGCTATCAGAGAACTGATGACAGTATACTGTAGGAGAAGGAAGAGCGGGAGAACAGGAGAGAACGAGGACTGAAACCCACACGGACAGAGCGTCCCGCCGGTGGCCAGGGCTCTGGGCAACTGCAGAGACCGGCGAGGAGGGGGTCCCCACGGCCCCCGTCCTCTCTGGTTCAGCCGTCCAATTGGACACCGATCTGCCGTGAGAGGATGTGGGGAGGGGGTCGAGATTCCCCACCCCCCCAAAATAAACCCCAAAACATTGTGGTCATTTTTGAATTTTACATGACCACGGTGTTTTAAGACTGAAACGCGGCAAGAGGAAGAGCTCAGCGGAGGATGGAACTCCTTCGCCAGGATTGATGAAAGGAGAATGACAACTGCAGGAAAAACAAGGATGGAAATTGATGTCCCATGACAAAAAGGGAGCAGACAAGGGTGTGATCATGACGGGGTTCACACTACCAAGATTTTCTAGATCTCTTATTTTTCTGATCAACTTTTAGGTTAACGATGTACTGTCTTGAGATATGCGACCGTTATTTCAACCCAAACTCATTGTTGTAGAGTATTCATAAAGTTCTACAGTATATTTCTTGATTCTGTTTTTGCCAAAAGTGTGAGCAAAGGAAGTCCACAAAAGCAAAGTGTTAAAAGAGTATTAACAGAATTGCTGGAGCTACTTGAATTCCTTTCTTTGCCTTTAGTCTAAAGATTAGAGACTATATACAATTATGTATATATATATATATTAAATTATGTATATACATACACTAAATATACCTATGTATATTTAAAGGAGAAACATAATAACCCTCTATGGCACAGTTGATTACATCTAAAGAAACATAAATACATTTGGAGTGTTTCTTCTCTAGAACATGTAGTTTACCAGGAAGAATAGATGAATTGTTTTTAATAGATGCTGTTGGTGTTTGTTAACTTTTAAAATTCCCCAGATTCTCTCCAAGTGATAATAATAGAGTTTGGAATATATGTAAACTTTCTACATAATTAGGAAATAGATTCAACTTGGTTTTTATTAAATGTTCACAGTTTCAGGTGCTGACTAGCTAGTTCCACTGATGCATTGTAAGTGATGGTAAAGTTGTATCATGAAGTGTTAGACCTCCTCACTAAAAAACAAACAAGGACAGAATTATAGGCTTTGTATTTTACTGATTTGGGGGAGTAACATATTACATATACTCCTCTATTAGCTTGGATTACAGTTTGAGTAGTTAATTTTTTAAGGTTGATGTGCACTTTAAATGATTAAAGGGAGAAAATGGATAAGTTCTCTTATACTTGAAGAAGAGTTCCTTATGCAACAGTTTTTTTAATCATGAGAGAGCTTAGTTTTTGAGAGTAGAATTACATACACTTCACAAAATTGGAAAATCTCCTCATACTAGAAAATTAGTGAAACTAGTGTAAAATGGACATATTGATCTATCATTCTCCTCAAAGCTCTCAGGACATTAGTTAATGGTTCTCATAAAAACTGCTTCAGGAGATCAGAACAGGAGTTGAAGCATCTGAATTTAGGAGGAAGTAGCACAAAGGACTGTCACATATTTAATTCTTGGGCCACATTGTAAGAAACAATGATATAAGCTAAAATCTCCATTTACCAACCACAGATTGAAATCATTAGGTGATGCCAGGTTTTATTATCTGTGCTTTGTTGTGATTTGTGTGTGTGTGTGTGTATGTGTGTGTGTGTGTGTGTGTGTGTTGAGATGCTGGAGTTGTTGACATAGGCTTACTTTAGTTTTGAAAATATACAGAATCAGACTGTACCTTCCCTTTACAGACCTTGTTAGGACTGTTTTAAGAAAACACATTGGAGTGAGACACTATAAAGACAGCACATGAATGTGACTTAAAACAATAGCAAGGGTAACATGTACTGGTAGGAGATCAATTGTATCTTTTTTTTAACCTGTACGGGTTATTTACTTAGTTAATTTCTTACTTAGTTAACTTATTTCTAACATTTTGTCACTGAAAATTATTGGTTGGGATGGTGCTCAGGGCAGTCATATATCTTGGTTCAAGCGTGGTCACACTCACAAGATCACACTCTTGTGTGTGTGAGTTATCCTCACACTGACACACACAAGTGTGGGAATCCTACACCATATAAAATCACTTGTATGTGGAATCTAAAAAAGAAAAATGATACACATGAACTTATTTACAAAACAGAAACAGATCCACAGACGTAGAAAACAAAAGCATGGTTACCAAGGGGAAGAGGGGGAGGGAGGGATTGATTAGGAGTTTGCAATCAACAGATACACACCACTGTATATAAAAGAAATAGCAAGCTATAGCACGGAGAACTCAATATCTTGTAACATAATGGAAAATAATTTGAAAAATATTATATATTCATATATATATATATGCACATTGTCATATATATATGAATCACTTTGCTGTGTACCTGTGTACATTGTAATCAACTGTACTTCAGTTTAAGAAAGCAGTGGTAACAAAGCCACCCCTGTAATAAAATCCATGCCAAGAGACATCATAATGAAATTTCTAGGGAGAAAAGAAGAGATTAAAATCTTGAAAGCAGCCAGAGAAATGCAGCATTATCCCTATAGAGGAAAAAACAATTAGAATGGCGCCAGATTTCTCATCATACCCATGGAGGTCAGGAAGCAATGGAATAGTATTTTTCAAGTGCTGAAAAAATATAAAAAGAATCTAGAATTCTGTAGAGAAAATATCCTTCAGAAATGAAAGGGAAGCCAAGAGAATTTGTCACCAGCAGTCCTTCCTGAAAAGTATGGCTAAAGGAATTTCTCTAAACAGAAAGGCACTGATAAAAGAAGAAGGAAGTTTAGAACATCAGGAAAGAGAAAGAACATGGAGAGAGCAAAAATACAAATGAGTCCAGATAATACAAAAATGAGTACTGGTAATACATTTTCCTTCTCCTCTTGAATTTACTAAATTATGTCTGATTGAAGTTCTAACTATGACAATGCCAGATGTGGTTCTAAATGTATATAGAAGAAATACTTAAGAAAACTGTATTATTAATACAAACAGGGAAGAGAAAGGGGGTACAAAGAAGGTAAGGTTTCTGTTCTTCACCTGAGCTGGTAAAATGACAACTGTTGATTAATGCTGCATGTATAATATAATATGTAGAATGTACATGCCTGCTCAGTTTCTCAGTTGTGTCTGACTCTTTGTGACTCCCTGGACTGTAGCCCACCAGACTCCTCTGTCCATGGAGATTCTCCATGCAAGAATACGGGAGTGGGTTGCCAGTTCCTCCTCCAGGGGGTCTTCTCGACCCAGGGATTGAACCCAAGTCTCTTGCGTCTCCCATATTGACAGGCAGATTCTTTCTGTAACACCGTGCCACCTGGGAAGCCTCAGTTCAGTTCAGTTGAGTTGCTCAGTCATGTCCGACTCTTCATGACCCCATGAACTGCAGTACGCCAGGCCTCCCTGTCCATCACCAACTCCTGGAGCCTCCCCACAGTCCATTGAGTTGGTGATGCCATCCAACCATCTCATCCTCTGTCGTCCCCTTCTCCTCCTGCCTTACCAGCATCAGGGTCTTTTCAAATGAGTCAGCTTTTTACATCAGGTGGCCAAAGTATTCGAGTTCCAGCTTCAACATCAGTCCTTCCAGTGAACACCCAGGACTGATCTCCTTTAGGATGGACTGGTTGGATCTCCTTGCAGTCCAAGGGA